TACAGCAGCGTGTGGACCATTTTTAGCTCAAGGCAGCTCATCTCATCAGGCCTTTTTTAATCTAATGTATCGCCCAGTGTCAGTCCCTTCGGGATCCATCCCTCATTCATCTTAATAAAGGTGAGGTAATCTAGACTTTTTTGACCTAGGCAACTTCTCTTCTCAGTGACAATACCTCCTGCTGCGCTGAAGGTCCTTTCTGACAGGACACTTGAAGCAGGGCAGGCCAGAAGTTCTATCGCAAATTGGGATAGCTCAGGCCACAGGTCAAGCCTGCACACCCAGTAGTCAAGGGGTTCATCGCTCCTCAGAGTGTCGATATCTGCAGTTAAGGCGAGGTAGTCTGCTACCTGTCGGTCGAGTCGCTCTCTGAGGGTGGATCCCGAAGGGCTGTGGCGATGCGTAGGACTTAAAAGGTCCGCATGTCCTCCATCAACACGTCTCAAAAGATACTGTCCTTTTGGCGTGGTCATGGGAGAGGAGGATGACTTCCCACCTCTCTCCCATTAGATTCCCAATTTGTGCTGAAGAAGCTCTTATATAAGCCCTGTAGAAACATACTGCATTTGTTTTGCAAATGCTGCATCCTTTCTGACTTGTTGTAATTTGGTAACATTTCAGCCACTTTCTGCTTATACCGGGGGTCTAGTAGCGTGGACACCCAGTACAGGTCGTTCTCCTTCAGCCATTTTATACGAGGGTCCCTCAACAGGCACGACAGCATGAAAGACCCCATTTGCACAAGGTTGGATGCCGAGCTACTCATTTCCCGTTCCTCCTCCTCACTGATGTCAATGAAGGTATTTTCTTCCCCCCAGCCACGTACAACACCACAGGTACCAGATAGGTGACAACGAGCACCCTGGGATGCCTGTTGTGGTTGGTCTTACTCCTCCTCTTCCTCCTCCTCAAAGCCACATTCCTCCTCTGACTCCTCTTCCTCACAATCCTCTTCCAGCGTTGCCGCGGGTCCAGCAAGCGATGCTGATAAGGCTGTTTCTGGAGGTGATGGTGACCACAACTCTTCCTCTTCCTCTTCACGCTCATCTACGGCCTGATCCAGCACTCTTCGCAGGGCACGCTCCAGGAAGAAAACAAATGGTATGATGTCACTGATGGTGCCTTCGGTGCGACTGACTAAATTTGTCACCTCCTCAAAAGGACGCATGAGCCTACGGGCATTGCGCATGAGCGTCCAGTAACGTGGCAAAAAAATTCCCAGCTCCCCAGAGGCTGTCCTAGCACCCCGGTCATACAAATATTCATTAACGGCTTTTTCTTGTTGGAGCAGGCGGTCGAACATTAGGAGTGTTGAATTCCAACGTGTCGGGCTGTCGCAAATCAAGCGCCTCACTGGCATGTTGTTTTAGCCGCTGGATATCGGCAAAGTGAGCCATGGCCGTGTAGGAACGCCTGAAATGGCCACACACCTTCCTGGCCTGCTTCAGGACGTCCTGTAAGCCTGTGTACTTATGCATAAAGCGTTGTACGATCAGATTACACACATGTGCCATGCACGGCACATGTGACAACTTGCCCAACTTCAATGCCGCTAACAAATTTGTTTCGTTGTCACAAACCACTTTGCCGATATCCAGTCGCTGCGGAGTCAGCCACTTTTCCACCTGTGCGTTCATGGCGGACAGGAGTGCTTGTCCGGTGTGACTCTCTGCTTTCAAGCAAGTCAAACCCAAAACGGCGTGACACTGCCGTATCCGGGATGTGGAATAGTACCTGGGGAGCTGGGGGTGTGCCGTTGATGTGGAGCAAGACGCAGCAGCAGAAGAGGACTCAGCCGAGGAGGTTTATGGAAGAAGGATGGGTAGGAGGGTAGAGGAAGGTGGCAGCAGGACTGCCTGCAAGTGGGTGGCGGTGTCACCAACTCCTCTGCAGAGCCATGCATTCCATGCTTGGCAGCAGTCAGCAGGTTTACCCAATGCGCAGTGTGGGTGATATACCTGCCCTGACCATGCTTTGCAGACCAGGTATCAGTGGTCAAATGGACCCTTGCCCCAACACTGTGTGCCAGAGATGCTATTACTTCCCTTTGCACAATTGAGTACAGGTTGGGGATTGCCTTTTGCGAAAAGTAATTTCGGCCGGGTACCTTCCACTGCGGTGTCCCAATAGCTACAAATTTTTTGAACGCCTCAGACTCCACCAGCTTGTATGGTAAAAGCTGGCGGGCTAATAGTTAGGACAAGCCAGCAGTCAGACGCTGGGCAAGGGGGTGACTTTCTGACATTGTCTTCTTACGCTCAAACATGTCCTTGACAGACACATGACTGTGGGAAGATGAGCGTGAACTGCTCAAGGCGGGAGCCGGAGTGGCAGATGGTTGAGAGGGGACAAGGAGGACAGCAGTGGTTGACGTGGCTGAAGATGCTGGACCAGGAGGAGGCTGGCTGCTTAGAGTAGGCGAGCTGCTTGTACTCATGTGTTGATCCCATAGGCGTTTGTGATGTGAGATCATGTGCCTACGCAAAGCAGTTGTACCTAGGTGGGTGTTGGACTTCCCATGACTCAGTTTCTTTTGGCACAGGTTGCAAATGGCATTGCTGTTGTCAGAGGCAGACACACAAAAAAAATTCCACACTGCTGAGCTCTGCAATGCCGGCATTCTGGTGGTGGACACAGCATGCGTTGATTGGCGTGCTGTCGGGCTGACCCGGTGTGATGCATGCCTGTCCCGGCTGTGCCGCTGGCTCACTTGCGTGACCTCCCCCTGCTTCCAACTCGTCTCCTCCTCCTCCCTATGCTGTGAACTTTACGCCTGTTCTTCTTCTTCTTACGGCGGCGGGCACCCACGCGTGACATCCATGAGCGCGTAGTGCATCATCCGGCAGCTTCACTTGGCCGTAAAACGGCAGAAAACAGCAAAGGGAAGCGGCAGCGAATTTCTTATCATCATCATCATCACCCCGTCGTCCATGTGTATAATGCGCCTGCAGGAACGCCATCTGTTATCTACATCCTCTGCTTAGTAATGGTTGCGCATCACTCATTTTCTTCAAGCGGATGTGTGTGATAACTCCCTCTGACACATACCAACTGAAGCGGCTGTGGTGCTGGATTTTGGTGGTGGCGGCAGGCGGGTGAGTGGTATCTTGAGAGGTGCCTGAAGCTAAGCTGGAGGAGGATGGTGCGTCAAGGTTCTGAGCGGAGGCTGTAGAAGATTGGGTGTCTTGTGTTAGCCAGTCAACTATGTCCTCAGAACTTTTCAAGTTCAGGGTGCGTGGCCTCTGAAAACTGGGCATTATTCTAGGGCCAAAGGGAATCACAGCACCACAACCACGATGGCCCCTGCGGGGTGGCCTGCCTCTGCCTGTCATTTTTTTGGGGATTAGTGGTACTATGCATGCAAGCTACTGTGAGACCAGGGTATGGTGGCCATGTACTGGCACAGTTATTACGAGCACAGCAGGCGCCAGGCCCTGACACCGGCAGACTATAACCCAACTGCTCAATCTATAACAGTGAAAAAGTGTTTTGTTTTTAAATCCAAGCTATTGTGACACAGGATCTAATTAGTGGCACTTGTCAGCGTATCCACTGTTAGCGTAACACACCGCTTTTAGGACACTGACTGCTATTCAATCTATAACAGTGAAAAAAGATTATTTTTTTTTTAAATCCAAACTATTGTGACACCAGATCTAATTAGTGGTACTTGTCAGCGTATCCACTGTTAGCGTAACACACCCGCTTTAAGGACACTGACTGCTATTCAATCTATAACAGTGAAAAAAGTTTTTTGTTTTCTAAATCCAAGCTATTGTGACACCAGATCTAATTAGTGGCACTGGTCAGCGTATCCACTGTTAGCGTAACACACCCGCTTTAAGGACACTGACTGCTATTCAATCTATAACAATGACAAAAAAGTTTTTTGTTTTTAAATCCAAGCTATTGTGACACAGGATCTAATTAGTGGCACTTGTCAGCGTATCCACTGTTAGCGTAACACACCGCTTTT